TGCTGAAAATAAGGACTGTATCTGGAAGTGGAAGTGACCGATAGTGATGAGCAAGAGACCATCCATTCTATCAAATGCAGAAAGATAGTGGAGAACATAGCGGTAGTGTTTCTTGTTGACTCGTGGGCAACCTCCAATATTATCCCTAAGGAGAAGCGGACAGATTTGACTCGGATAACTGCTACAGACCACCAATTGCTCATGTGGAATAAGACACCACTCTCTCCCCTTGTTGCCTATAAAACAGCTACAATTAATCCAAAAAAGGAAACAGTACACCTAATCAACTTCATTGTCGTTGCAGAAGACTTCATACAATTACTTGGTATAGAGTGAGGGAGTTGTGTTTAACACCGCGTTTAACAGTATTCCAGTTATATCACAGCATGTCAGTCTAATGTCGGAGAAAAGACCGAAGTGATGCAGGTCTTAGACGTTTACCACTTCGGTGAAACCTACGAGCATGGGTATGGTGCTGACAAACCTAGAAACATAATCGGGGAGAACCGGGATTCGAACCCACAATCATAGGTTTCTGGCGTGCCCAAGGGACGTAACTCTTCACAGCGAATTGCGTCGCTGGGCAGCTCGTGCCCCCACTCGGTATAGAAACTGCAGTGGCCATGGAACTGATTTATGTCGAGAGAGACAACATGGAAGTTGTTGCCGCTGTATCATCAAGCCATTCTAGATTTGATTAAATATTTAACCAATTGTGGGATGGGAAGATAGGTAAATTCGATGGTGAAGTACACTTGGAGACTGGCCCGAGTATAAAACCAGTCATCATGCAAGCTAAACGGATCCCAGTAAGTCTGTAGGACGTCAAGTGCCGAGTTAGGTACCATCTTGTTGACATGCAGTTGAAATACATGCTGGAAAAAGTAAAACTGAAACTATTTCGTAACACCCGTCTTTAGCCGAGTGTTTATCAACGCATGGTACAATGGCTGAAGAAGATTTAACTGTTTGCCAAAATATTTGACATTGAACAACACAAACGACGACAAGGAACGATAATATACAGTGTGTCCAATGGATAGGAACCCTTCCTGAGTGATATTATTTGTTCACATGGCACGCTGATACAGTACAGGCTAATAACGGGCTAACAAGGTGAACCTGATTGCGAGGACAAGCCTGCGGCCTGATCATAGAAGAATATTTATGAGGCCACCATATACACATGTATGTTATATGTGATAATCCCTTGCACATCCTATAAATGAGAACTAACGTACAATATTTGAAGCAGACTGGTGACAGAAAAGTTGATTATGGACTAACCTTGATTAACAGTTGAAAGTAGAGTATAATTTAAACAGTTACCATATATTTGCATACCATACCTGCAGTTGTCTCATCCAGTCATTCAGGACTTACTCCACTTCCAAAGAATCAAATTGAGCACACTGACCTGGCAGCGAAGATTTCGGACATCGTTGACAAACTAACAGTCCAGATGGATGACTACCGGAAGGAGATAATGAACCTTTTTCTCCCTCCCGATATTCCACCAAGCCTCAAATACTTTTGCAATAGCTGAAGTTTCAGAGTTAAACTGAACTCCATGTCTGTCAAATACTCGTTACCAAATGTGTCATTTGAACTTCATTTTCAACCTGCAACAATAAATTCTTTGTGCCCATGAGTAACACAGTGTATGTGCCAAGAGAAAAAGAAATTGGTAAGCAGGGGTGTTGGTGCAGGCAGTTGATGTTGATGTTCTATGATAAATATGGTACCTAGAGTTCAATTATGTTTATATTGATAGTGTTTTGCAAGGGACATTTTAGGTCAAAGTATATCCAGTCTCTCTCTCTCTCTCTCTCTCTCTCTCTCTCTCTCTCTCTCTCTCTCTCTCTCTCTCTCTCCTTGCTCTCTCTCTCTCTCTCTCTCTCTCTCTCTCTTCACCTTGAAATGTTTAACAATATATGACTAATGCAAACAGATTTATACAGGGCAACCTACTAATGTATGATGTGAGATTACAACTTCTGTGTTGAAATGACCTCCAGCTTGCAGATGTGGAACTGTGATCGCTTGGTGCAAGTGGATCCACAATGACATGTGCTGAAAAATGTTCAGGAATAAGACTTAGAGTATTACTAACACCTATTGAAATCTGAGCCAATTAAAACTGAAATAATATTTTTTGTGTGCACGTTTAGCGCCTACCCACGTCAATGTCCACTTTTCACATACCAGTATATTTATCTACCTGATAAGGGAGCGAAGGCTACCTGACAAATAAGACAACTGCCTCTGTGGTGTAACCACATTTATATCACCATTGTAATGGGGAAGAAGTACATGCTTGTGTTCCTGTCGGTTCTTATGTCCTGTGGGGCAACGAAACGCCCCAACATTGTCTTCATAGTTGCAGATGATTTAGGTGAGTGTAGTTTGATCACAGATAAAGTGTCCCTGTACTTTAATGGTTCTAATTCTGATGACAGATAACCATCGATCAGTTTATCATATAGGCTTATATGACATATCTAACAGATGTATGCATCGGCACTCGAGAACTGATTATCCGGAATAATATTTGCATTTAATACCAAGAAAGTATGTTTTCTTCTGGTATATATATATATATTCATACAACAAATGAATACCCAACAAGTGGAAACACAAGGTTTTTGGCATTGGAATCGAATGAGGAGATAATTGACACATAGTTTTAGATTCACTTGGAAGATGATTTCTATTGTTATATTTGCTTACGTTTATGTAGTTCAAGATAAAGAAGTCTTATTTTTCGTGTGGTATTCTATAAGCAGATTTTATGGTAAGGATAATTTTACCGAAGTGTGTTAACCTATAGAAAAAACAAATACTGTCAAAACTGTTCAATTGTACACTTCAATAATGTATAAATATCTTAGCCATATCATGTCACCTTCAATTACAATAAGGATGGAACGAATGGCTACAGAGGGGATCATCTTTGAGAGCGCTTATGTTCAGCCTTATTGCAGCCCGTAAATATCCTTTGTATTTTAATATCACTCAAACTGGTACATAATACAATCGTATCCAGACTTTGCATGTTCTGCCTTTATGTCATCGTAACATAACAAATGTTCATGCATGAATATAAGATGTAAATTGTCAAAATGTATTTGTAGAATGATCTGCCTTGAATTCTCAATCTTTAAAATTATAACTCTTATAAAAGAAGGATGTTTAGAGATGAAATTGTTGAGAGCATGTCCACGATCGACGGTGTTAGTCTGTGCAATGTTAGATACAGCCTCGTCCTCCTCAAGGTCCAATAATGATTTACAGGTCTCGCACAGCCTTCATGAGTGGAATGTTTCCATTCAAGGTGGGCATGCAGGTAGGTAAAATACACGGTCTCCTTTTTCCTTCTAAAACATATAAGCTGAGCATAACGTATTTAACATATACGATGCTGAAGCTGTGAATCTGTTTAAATGTTATCGAATGTGTCCCGGCGGTATTGAACAATCCCTCTAAGCCAACAGTGTAATTTATATGATGTAGAATGTCGTCTTGTCTGTTATGATCCCCCGGGGTCTCACATACACAATTTACATCGCAGCACGCAGTTCTGATCGATAGTCAGGCCTCATGTGTGCCTCTCAACTACACCTTCCTGCCACAAGAGTTGAAGAAACTCGGATACGCCACCCATATGGTCGGCAAGTATGTCCCGCAAGCGCACTATAATACAGTTTTTGTAGCGTACGATATTGGCTTTCTGATTGTATGGATGTTGGCTTGACGTGGCGTTAGCCTGGCGTAATCAATATGAGCTATAAACTATACATTCCTGTTCATGGAATCTGTTTTTTTTATTCTCTGGCATTGACGTTTTATAAATATCCAATATATTGTGTTGCCGGACTTTGGACAGGGGGTGCTGAGAGCGAGAGTATCTGATGTACGCATTCTGACTCTCTGTTTCAGTATACATTCGCTCAGAAAGCTGTTTACATCATCAACCAACACGAAGTCTCCCAGCCTCCGTTTATGTACCTACCCTATCAGAATGTACATGCTCCTATTGAGGTAAAATAGTCTATTACCAAGTTTCAATTCCAGAAAAAACGGGCATGTTACGTCAGAGTCTTTTGGTCTGTTTGAAATATGCTATTTGTACACAAGAATGTGTTCATACAAAGTGGGTTTTTTCTTAGTGATAGGCCTCATACTAGATCACATACAAAAAGCATGCCACTTCTGAGAGGATGCAAACAGGGACATTCCGGGATTAGATAAACAGTCTGAGAGGTATTGTTGTGTTCTGGAGTGCATGTTGTGATATCATGGCTGAAGGAATTAGTTCCATAAATTTAGATCGTTTTCTTTGAAATGTATCCAGATAAAACAACTTCAAATAATTATAATGTTTGTCTTTCGGTAGAAATAAATGCAAAAGGTACCAGACATATCAATGCATGATACACCCATCACAATACAGGCGGACCTATTCTCCTATAACGAAATACTGCCATGATTACATTAAGAATTGATGCTGATATGGTCTCTTTTTAGGAAATATGTGAAGCAGTTGGGAACGTCACAAAGGCACTTAAGGAGAAGGGGTTGTTTGAAAACACACTCATTCTGTTTACAACTGATGTAAGAACAGTCGTCTTCTCGATTCAACAACCAAAATACTTAAAATGCATATACGGTATAGACCCATGAGAAAGGAAAATGAATGAACTAGGCCGTGTATGAGTACATAGTCAATCATCGGTAATCATACAAATACCCGAACGGCCGTGTTTTTATGTTATTGATTGTGCAGAATAATTTTCGAGATCTATTACACTTCTCTACACTGTGGAACATTTAGTGAGGTATACTGAATCTCTCCAGAATGGCGGTCCTCTTGGAAATAATGCCAACAACTGGCCCCTGAGAGGGGGGAAGCACACAATCTGGGAGGGAGGCACGAGGGGGACATCCTTCATGTATGGCACCGGGCTGAAGAAAACCAAGACAACCTATAATGGGTTTGAGACAATCAATTTAATGTTGGACACATATGAGAAGAATGATATTGTTTTAAAGGAGATGGAGGGGCGATTAATGTTCCTCTAGGCTTAAGATGTTGGGTTATAGTGCAAGTCTCATGACAAATAATGATAGATTGTAAAGCCAGTAAGATGTAAATTACGATGGCCAAGAAAACAGTCTCAAAATGTAAATTTAGCGCTGTTGCCCTTAAATAAAGGTACGTATTCTAAGGTCTGTATTGGGAACAACCCAAACGAATCTTCAAAACGTTGACGAGGAGGCATAGCATCGATCTAAACAATTGGGATACGATGACATCAACCAAGTCAGCGAGCCAGATCACCCCACCCCGTTGGTCGCCTCTTACGACAAGTATGGGTTGCTGAAGACCTATATTCTAACACGGAATCTTCAAGGGTCGGATTCCATGTTTGTGAAGAGTATAGCTGGTTTGGGTGTGCCATGCAACCTTGATTTAACGTGAATTATATACTGTTTAACATTGTAAAATAATGTCTTTTTCAATTCAAATGGCGTGGTAAACGGAGGTTGCTCTCTGGCGTGCAAACTAAACGGAGGGGTGGGCTTGTTGTGCAATCAAGGGAGGAAATTACCTCCAACATGACCATATATGAAGCCTCTGTATGAGACTTCGCAATGTTTTCGTTTCAGTTTTCCAAATTGATAGACAAGATTTAAATGCAAATAAACATTATATACGCACCACTTTCAAAGTGTTGAATCCGATATTTGCATTGACGACGTTACGATATACCAAATCTGGAAAGTTGTTTATACCATACGATTTGCACTTAACGGCTCTGAAGATCTCCACCTCTTACAAGTAATTAAAAACCCATGTCATTACAGAATGATTCATGCTGTAGACTGGAATCCAACCTTGGTGCCAGCAGCTGGTGGCACTCCTGGTAATAAGGACTTCCTGCTTAGAATCGTTTGTTTGTTGTAACGCCGCGATATGACAGCTATATTATTGCAGTCTGTAAATAATCGAGCCTGGACCAAGCAATCCAGTGACTGACATCACGAGAATCAATGTACGCAATTGGGATCTGTATGTATGCATATCCAAGCATTGGTTGCTGCAGATCAATTCTAACCCTGATCTTCAAAGGGACCTATCTCTCGCAGGAATGCATGTGTACACTTATCACAGAGACGTCAACAATAACCGAATGATCTTGAAGTCGTATTAATCCCAGCATATATCTACGAGTATGACTTGCGTTTGCATGCGTTTGTGACGGGTGCCACCTTTTCACGAACACCTGGTATTGTCACTTTCATGGTGATTCATGGACGCATGCTCACAAAATGGTCGGAACTATAAAATCGACTATGCTTTTGGCAGAGATATTTTTGAAATATGGAAAGGGTTCTGTCGCTTTAATTTAAGTAACCCTGTCATTTGCCAACACATATTATTCCAGAGTGATTTCTTTCAGCAATGTTAATACGCCTCGCTCAGTTATACATTCATGAGTTAACTGTCTGTGCATATACATAAAATTAGGTTTTTTCCCCTTTGGAAATGTTTATTAAAGATCTCGAAGAAAAGCTGAAAAAATGTGAACTTTGTCAGACGATGACATAAATTTGAAAGGACTAAACATGTAATCTGTATACTTTTAAACCAGAAGAAAATAATCTCAACAAAATCTATTGCTGTTGTAGAGGCGTCAATCGATGGTACAACCCACTGGGAATCTATCAGGAATGGCCTTCCGTCGTCAAGAACCGAGTTCATATACAATATTGACGACTTTGAACCTGCATTGGAAGGACATGCTGCAATAAGGTAAATACTTTAAATATTAGGTTACAGAACGTTTTGGGGACATCTGTCTTTAGCCCATTATTTATCACCACATGGAACGTTCTTTTGAGAGAAGTATTTCACTATACCAATCAATTGCGAAATCTTCAAAAGCTGGACCTTAACCATGGAAATTCATTACAAAATGTTTTCCAGCATGTCATGATATTGGCACAATAAATATTATTAACAACAGAGGGAGCAGGAAGTGATCCTGTGTGGTTATCTTTTGTTTACAGGGTTGGTGACTACAAGCTGATACTGGGCTACCCAGGGGAACTGATGGCTGGCACAAGCCTAGGAACACTACACGGGGGATAAATATGAGACCACCATATATTATAAGGGCGATAGCCCAGTGCAGCTGTACAACATACGCGGGTGAAGAACAGAAATATTTATGTACTAATGTATGGAATTTATTTTCTAACAATTTGTACAATTTTAAGGAAGAGTCACCCTGCTTTACATTGATAGGCATAAGAAAAGTTTTATCCAAAAACATGTCCCCGTCAATATACACGCCATCTCTGCATATACACAAGAACGTCACTTTATAAATATTTCCTTCTCTACCTACAGAGGATCCCACTGAGCATAACGACCTGGCAGCACAGATGCCGGACATTGTTGACAAACTGAGAGCCCGGATTGATGAGTACCGGAAGCAGATGGTCCCCGCCCTTTTCCCTGATGGTGATCCTGCATCTAACCCTAAAAACTTTGGGAACGCCTGGAGCCCGGGATGGTGTTGATCTTCGATTTATTTTTATCAATTAAACTTTAACAATGTTGGTTGAATAGTTTGTAACAATATGTGGATTGAAGTTCATTTGGCTGAAATAGTATGTAACAATGCTGAAAGTAACAGGTTACAGATAGAACCCTTTTGAACAATATACTTTGTGCAGGGACCTGGCCTGTTAAGCTGAGAGAAGAATCCTGGAGAGTTTACATCCTCAAAACCCAAACATTGTGTTGGCTGTTCACAGAGGCTTTGCCATCATGTGTCATATATTAAGGGGTCCCTTTGTATTCCAGGTTATATTAGAGACTCATGAACATATTAAGGAATTCAAGACGAATGATCATAAGCAACGATCAAGACAGGTTCCTGAATGACAATATCATGGAAAGAACTCCCCTTCGCATGCTATATTTTCTAACACTGCATACGCATTCACTCTCTAGATTACCAATTACTCTCCACTCCATGTAGTCTCCTTCAGGCAACGTGTAGGATATCATGTTTAACATGCTTCCCTCCTATCTGTCCTGGCCAGTGGTGTTTCTAGGTTACAGTATTTCCCCCTCCAACTTTGAGGCAACTAAATAGACCGAGTAGGCAGGATTAATGTCTCTTATTGTACTACGGTGGCATAGTCCATTGATGAACATTTGTCGCTGGCATATAGCTAGACTTTTGAACAACAAACACATCACCATTGTTTGAAGGCTCAGTGGAGGACCTGGTCGGCATGCATACTTAATTCTCTCATTTTGTGTGAGCAAAACGTATGTTTAGACGTTTTCCCTTGCGAAAGACTGCAGATGTATTCAAAAATCATGTCAGCATATTTTCTTTATCTGAAAGGAATTCTTGCCAACAATCGTTGTTGCATATTTTCGTTATCGAACAGGTATGTATGTCAAAGGAGTAGGCAATGGACAAGAAAGAATGTTTAAAACTGTTTTAAATTCTTTAGATTCTTGCACGAAACTATGCCATCGCGACGTTCCCTAAATCGTATTAAATGTGTTGAAACGTTCCTACTTTATTGATTAAGTTGGATAATGTCAAATACCAGAACATGTCGGTCCAGATGGAGATCTAGGTCTCCTTATCAGTCCGGTTTCTAGGATGGAAAAAATGGTGTATATGTTGACAGACCATAGAGGTCTCATTTTTGCTGAACAAGCAGACGTGCCGATGTTTTGAGTTCTTGCTATGTTCCCGTGTTTCTTATCACTGCCATCAGCACAGCGTATAGACATCGTTTATTGTAGCAGCTGACTTAGGTGAGCGTCGATAGTAAAGGCAACAAGAGAGTGATTTAATATGAAATACCCACTGAAACAATGTCACTCTAAATGTGTCTCATTTCAAAATTGAGATTTTAACACATTGGTGTATGGTCTTACATTGGTGTATCGTGTATACTTACATACATTCTCAACGGAACTTTTAGGTAATAAAGATTAGGGTTTTGAATAAACTGAATGGATGGCACACATATATTCTGTTATATAAGACCTCCAAGTGACGATGTAATTCCAACACAATTTTTTTAAGTAAATATAAATACGAACTATATAAAAGTCGTTGTATTTTATCAACATCATATATTTTTATTCAGTTACATGTGTTTACTAGAGGATATACTCGAGACTTGACCAGTTATTGATATTGTAAGCAACAAACCTATTCACTGAACCTGACCATATTACCCGTAACGGCAAGCAAAGGCTACTTTGGAATTCCCGCCGGATACAGACGAAAACCTATCGATCACGTTCCAAAGTCATAAAAATGTGCAATGTGAAGTTAAATGATGGAAAAATATAGAAAACACAAAATATATAAAGGAATGTGTCACGTAAACCATTATTGTTTTAGAATGTTGATTCTGCGTACCAAGTACGATTTGTTTTGCGTACCGCGAGAATTCGAAGAACTACTGGACCAAATATGAAATGTTTTGGAGTACTTTCTATTCATTTATCCGTAAGGCTAATTTCAATTCCCTTAAGTCCCAAAGACATTTCCGAAAGCTATTACATATAGAAAAATACGTTATTCAGAATGTTATATCAACATGGACAGATTTAAAACAAAGTAATACTCGTTCGAATGCATTGTTCGTTCATTAGTTCCAATTGTATATGTTCCACCATTGTTTTGCCTCATATGATGCTACCCCAACAGTGGCACCCATCACAAAATCATGCAAAGGCAAGTCAATTTTTCAATCGAAGGAAAACACGGGAAAAAAGGAAGAAGTCAAAAGAGGGAATGCCATCGAACATCATTTTGTTAGTGATGCGTCAAGTTTGGAAATGTCCTCCACATGTCCACCATATAACGTTTTGAAAGCTTAACTGAGGCCATGAATATTGATCACACAACTTCTGAGCCTCGTATTAATTACGCTCTTTGACATCTTGGTACAAAGAACATGCTCGATTGTACCTCAAGATACCAAGGGCTGGAGCTGCAGGAATATTGCTCGATATAAAGGGAAAGTTGACCGTTGGTAAGTTGAAGTCATCCCTTTTGTCATACAGTCTTTCGTACAGTGTTTTGTCACTCTGAATTATTATGCATAGATCTAAATATGAAACAGATGAGGCAGTCTCACTGGTCTCCTTTATTTCTAGTACAGGTGGGAAAATCAGAGAAAGGGAATTGGCTATTTGATGGTTATCGAATGATATCAAATAATCGATATACCTGGAGCTGCCGTTAAAATTTGTGGCCAAGTTACCTTGTTTTGCTTTGCCAGTGTATATGTGATGAAAAATAACAAAAGCCTACATTTAATGCAGCCTTTTACAATGGAGGAGTGATTCAGTGTTCTCCGTCAAACACACGAATAAAGATGCGAGGTGTAATGGGGTTTAACGTAACATCCAAGATTATTGCACTTAGCGACGTGCATGCACGTGTGTGTGTTGGTGCTTGTACTAGTTCCGACTGATGGCGATTTATAGTGCTAGCACACTGAGATACAATGCCGCAGTTTAACGTGAATACCCCACTCAGACACAGTATACTGACTCCGCGCGGACCCCGTCCTTGTATAACTCTTTCAACACCGTAGGCCGGTAGACCGGCCAAGAAGTATCGAATCCCAGGACACCGTAGGCCGGTTTTCCGGCCAAACCGTAGTCAGGTCAAAATAGTATATCATTTTATAAACCTACCTGTCATATCATTCATTTACTAAATATATCACATTTCACAATGACTGAAATACGTATGCAATTTTCAATTAATCATTTTTATCGATTGATTAAAAAATTATTCACTATTTCCCGCAATGTTATTGAAATTAAAATTCTCGGACACACACTTCGACAACGGGTCCACATCGAACATGCCAAACAGCAAAATAAAGACGTTTCAAGCAAATCTTTAATTATAGTATACAAAGTAATAAATAAAATCAACAAAAAATATCTAAAAGTTTTCAAACTTACAGCTAAGTTATTATTTCCATCTTTTCGTGCAATCGCGTGTAATGAAAATCAAATGACATCTTGGCTTTCGTCGCCTCGGCTAGGACACGATGTTTAACGCAAAAATATATGCATGAAAATCTTTGTCATAGTTCGTAACCTAGCACGATACATCCACGAAGCCCTAACTTTTAATATAGATGCGCGATTTCCTGCTTTAAACGTTCAGAATAGTACGATTTAACAAAAATCTCTCGTCAAAATCTGAAATTCCTCATACACGAGGACGGTACCATAGCTGTAATATCATTGGCTGCCTCAGGTCACGTGCTCAAATTTGACCAATCACGAACCTTGTAGCAGATTTCGGCAAGAAAGCGTCATTAGATACCAATTTGTATCCAACGAAATCTTATGTTACGAGCGTGTAGATGAAAGAATAGGCTCTAGCGATGTGTCACATGCCAGTCATCGACGAACGTGTTATTCATACGAAGCCTCGAAAACGGGGGTATTTCGTCATTACTGAGCGGACGGTCGCTGTAATCGGAAAATGGGCGATGACAGATACTATTTATAATTCTCTTTAAAATGCTTTTTCAAATACTTAAACAATGAAAAGAAAAAAGAAAAAGATAAGTGTGTTTTCTGAAATCTTATACTTGCCGACAATCGTCAAATTTTGTCTTCCTAGGTCATTTATCTGGACGCTATCAATGTGTTAGCAAACCACTTTATTTACAACGAACTTGATTAAGTTGTAAATGCATAATTTAACTAATGTGATAAACATAACTTTCATATTCATAAACAATTGGATCAGACCTTTCAAATGGTGTATAACATATAGTAGGAAAGACGTTTTACAAGCAGATATGTTCTTTGATAAATGTTGGCTTCATCTATCATACAAGAGTCTATGGGAACCCCTACTAGGAACGCAGTAAACGCTTCTGGTTGACTGGAGTTAAAAGAGTTAATATGGAGCACGAACAGGGTACCAACAAGTACCATCTGTTAACGTCTTTTGGTATGAAACGGCCGGGGATCAAATCCCGGACCTTCCACTCTCCGAACGGACGTTATACCACTAGACCACGGAGGCGGTCCACGTATCAAGAAGAGCTATGTAACTGAATCATTTCTTTTTTTTCTTTAATCATGTCCCATAGTTGCCTTTTCTAAACCATTGTAATTGCACTATTACACATTTTCAGCGATGAACCGAGCGCAATCCTGCTTTTGCAAACAGGTAGTGACTGCACATTATTATCAAAACCGATGTACAATAATGTGATCCATATCACCAAAACAAAGAGTATAATGCAATAGAAATATAGAATTTGACAGAGGTGTACATGCATTGTGTACAGTAATTCAGTTGAGTTGGGATTCTGGGTTAGAATAGGTCTCGATCAACCTTTGCTAGTCGCACGAGGTGACACAATGGACCAGGTTATCAGGCCTGGTTGATTGCTTGTCATCGTACCCCGAGGTCGTGTGTGGTTGATAATAATATCAATCACTGAATTGTCTGATCCAGACCCCACTGTGTAACACGCTCCTGTCATATAGCTGGACTGTGATGTTACAACATTACCAAAATAATTGAGTTAGTAGATTGGCGTTGTTTCATATACCTTTTTATTGCAACACACATGGGTGACCTGACTGTTATGACTTCAAGATTAAATACTAGTATGTATATCAGAGCACTTAGGTCACGGGCATTTTTTACAAAGGAGTTAACAGGGTACCTTCTGCTGTTTCACACAGAACATATCTATGGCAGCACCGTTGTGGAAGAAAATTTAGGATTGAATGTAATATCTCTGTTTTTGTCGACCAGAGCATATTGAATATTTTGATGCTGAATGTACGTTATTAGAGTACATGCATAACGTATTGTTTAAACAGGACATGGGGCGGTCGAGTAGCCTAGTGGTTAAAGCGTTCGCTCGTCACGCCGAAGGCCCAGGTTTGATTCCCGACATGGGTACAATGCGTGAAGCTCATTTCTGGTGTCCCCCGCCGTGATATTGCTGGAATATTGCTTAAAGCGGCGTAAAACCAAACTCACTCACTCACTAATACAAGACACACCTGCAAGACATTCGTCTTCCACGACATCAGACACACAAACTGTACAGAATCTTCGTCCTTCCAATATCAGTTTCCAGCATGTGTATACTACAGCTGAGCTGTGAAGTTCATGTACAGAGTGTACTAACAGTAACAAGCGTAAACTATCCTTTGATCACTTCTTCTTGTTTGTCTTCTTAATCATTGACACTAATAAAACACCTGATGTGTGTGTCGTTTCTTTGATATAAGAATGGCATGTTGTCATTACACGTGTGTACTTTATCGATACAATTTCGCTCTGTTTCTCTGCAGGAAATACGTAGCTCAGCTACTCACTTGAACGTCGTGATGTCAATTATCCTTTATGTAATCCCCTCCGTAAACTAGTGTTCCTGCGATTTACTTATATTAACTATAAATAAACGTGACAAAACCCTTTCCGTAACTTCACTTCTTCTTTTTATTTCTCGTTCTGACGGAACTTGACAATCACACCCAACTTACTCTATATGTTCTGTCCTTCTTGAAAGTTGAAATACATGAAATATGGGGTCAACATGTGATTGCAAAGTGTTGACTAAATAACGAAAAAAATGCTTACTGTCCTGTGATTATTCTGATTATGTTGTGAACACGATAATCCACTTCACTTTACAATGTATAATAATATAGATATAATGCAAAGAGAGTTGAACTGGGCGACCTTCAGTTGTATTTCGGAAAATATGTGGCGTAAGAATGCAACCTCGGTGTTGAAATGCCTCGTAACTAATCGTTATCAGACATGGCGAGTTACCGAAACCTACCTCAGCCAACTGAAATCTAAATACCTTTTTGGTGTACACGTGTTGTGCACATAACACTATCGTCTACCTGATAAGCGTGTGAAGGCCACCTCATAAATATGACAAGGGCCTCTGTAGTGTAGTCACGTGTATATGACCATTGTAATGGAGGAGAAGTACATCCTTGTGTTCCTCTCGGTTCTTATGTCCTGTGGGGCAACGGATCGCCCCAATATTGTCTTCATAGTTGCAGATGATTTGGGTAAGTATGTGTTGTTCACAGATAAAGTGCCTACGTACGTCTAGTTCTTATTCTGAGGCCAGATAATGAGTTTATCATACAGGTAATATGACACATCTTTACAACATTTTTGTCTGCATGAATATTTTCATAAAATAGTAAGAGAGTATGTGTTCCTCTAGTACATAGTTTCATACCTTAAACGAAAACCTAATACCCCACAAATACACGGTTTTAGGCTTATGACTGGAATGGGGAGATATTTGACACAATGTTTCAGATTCACATGGAAGATGGTTTCCATTGTTATATTTATTTTACGTTTATGCGGGTCAAGTATATGATGTATTTTTCAGAGTGGTATTCTATGAGTAATGTTATGGTGAGCTGTTAAGTGTGTTACTCAGAGGGCCAACATCCAAGGTAAACGTGAAAAAAATACTGTTAAAACTATTCCATTGTACACTTCAATGATGTTTACATATCCAAACCATATAATGTCACCTTTTATTGCAACAAGGATGGAACGATGTTGGTTTCCGAAACCCAAACATGAAGACTCCGAACATTGACAAACTGGCTACAGAGGGGATCATCTTTGAGAACGCCTATGTCCAGCCTTATTGCAGCCCGTAAATATCATTTGTACATTTTTCACATCACTCAAACTTTTACATTATACAATCGTATCCTAACTTTGCATAATTTCACCACAGCATCAAAAGAGTCTATGATATACATTTTCAAAATATATATGTAGAATGATCTGCTTTGGATTCTGAATCTTGATCGTAAATAATTAGAATAAAAGAAGGACTTTCGAGATGAATTGGATAGTCTACGATCGACGGTGTTAATATTAATCTGTGCAATGTTAGATACAGCCTCGTCCTCCTCAATCTCCAATAATGATTTACAGGTCTCGCACAGCCTTCATGAGTGGAATGTTTCCATTCAAGGTGGGCATGCAGGTAGGTAAAATACAAGGTCTCCCCTTCCTTCTAAAACACATAAGCTGTGCATAACGTATTTAACATATACGATGCTGAAACAACTACGGTTTTGTGAATCTGTTTAAATGTTATCGAATGTAACCTGGCGGTATTGAACAATCCCGCTAAGCAGACAGTGTAATTTATAGAAGTCGTCTTGTCTTGGCATGCAGGTAAGTTACTTTGATGTTACCTCTTCATTACAAAAACAATTAATGATGCTCCAACAAATACGGTTTTGTGAATCAGGTTTTAACTACCAACTGTGGCCCGATGAAGCACGATCCCACAAAGCCCTGAGCGCAATGTACACAATGTGAAATGAAGTCTTGTCTGTTGTGATGTAATAGGGTCTTACATATAAATTTCACATCGCAGCACAAAGTTCTGAGCAATGTTCAGCCCGCATGTGTGCCCCTCAACTACACCTTCCTGCCACAAGAGTTGAAGAAACTCGGATACGCCACCCATATGGTCGGCAAGTATGTCCAGCAGTATTATAATACACAGCTTGTGTCGAGACTGATTGTGAGGATATTGGAGTGAAGGTTTTAAACATTATTTCTTGTCTGGAGTAATCAACATGAACTTTACACTATATATTCTTGACCATGGAAGAATTGATTCTTTGATACCAGACAAGCCTATGTTCGCAAATAATCATATTGATTAATACATTAGCGAGTTCCGAATATCATCATATCCGATCTTTTACTATTTAACACATCCCAACACCCTCCCACCAATTTCATGATGTTTTCAAGATGGCACCTGGGTTTCTGCAAATGGGAGTGCACACCTACGTACAGAGGGTTTGATACGTTCTTCGGCTACTACGCTGCTGAGGAGGACTACTTCAATCATAGCAAGGGCGAGTATTTTACTATCAAAACAACAATGTGTCAATAAACTCCTTTGAAAACAGTCAAATTAATCACTAGTTCCGAACAATTTCTATTAGGATTCTATAGTAGACCCATCTATTAGGATTCTATAGTGGACCCATCTATAAGGATTCTATAGTAGACCCATCTATTAGGATTCTATAGTAGACCCATCTATTAGGATTCTATAGTAGACCCATCTATTCGGATTCTATAGCAGACCCAATCAGGATCAGAACAAAACCAAATATCACCTTTGTTAACAATAAACTAAATAAAAGCGACAAAACTCTTTCCATAATACGACAAAAACACTTTCCTAATCAGCATGCCTTCACACCATAGTCAGAGAAATGTCCTTCTCAATCACTTGCTAATGGCACAAACTCATGCATATTCAACCAGAAACATATACAATCATCACATGGGGGGCCATTGTCACTGCTGGATGTAAGGTTATCGTTTCATGTGTCACTTAAGTTGCATATTTAACGCTGTCTATCAAAGCTGGTGTCTGCTATGTGGGATCTAATGCAGAACATTGTGGATACCTAAATTGGTACCGATGAACTCAGTGAACTTAAGATATCAATTTTTCACTTTGATTGTCATGCATAAATATATATCGTATATCTTAATTGTACTCCATGTGTGTCATAAATGTTATCTGTCATAGATTGCTTGACGATGACGATGTTCAACTGAGTGGGGATCGTCTTACGAACCAGCAAATCTGAATTGTCCGACCAATTTATTTGAATATAAGGAATCCTGTGTGTGTGATGTGATTGGGGTATGACCGTAACTAAAACTCACTCTCCTACTTACTGAGAACTGATGATGTAGACAATTCATTAGTGTGTTTGAACGTTTGCTTCAGCTGCATGCAATAACTTCACATCAGATGGAGAACAAATATTGTTTATGGACATATTGCGTGGATATCAATGTCCAATGGTGTATTTCCAGGTGCCTATTTAGACTACCGCGATAACGAACTTCCCGCTTGGAATTACAAGGGAGAGTATTCAGCTGTGAGTAACTTGCACAGTTAAATTAGTAAAATATATCCATATTGGACCATACTGTCCATAAGAATGAATTTATTTCAAACTTTTTTAATGCACTGGTACTGGCTGTGTGTCTGTGCTAATGCGATACTTCTTTAACGTCCAACTTTTTGATTTTTTAACCCAATACGTTTGCACAAATTCTGGAGCAGCATGTCTGACCTCGTGAAGCATGTTGTTCACATTGCTTAATGAAAACGAGACAATTGTTCGACCAATGATAGATATGTTTTTGTGGTCTACCCAGTTGTATCTTCTACCAATACAAATAACCATGTAGAACCCTGATCCCAAACACACTACTCTTGTTGTAAGAGGTGACTAATTTGGATTGGTTGGTCAGACCAGGTGACCCATGTGGGAAATCGAACGGGGTTAGAGCTTAAATTACTTAGCTACCCCACTGCCCCATAACATGACACACAACATATATAAATATAAATTGTCAATGCAAGAGAATAACCAGCCTAGATTTTCTGCCGAAAAGATTTCACTTGGCGTAAAGGGCAAATAGCTGTGGATATTATATAAATGGACCACTGAAAAACAGTGACGACACAAGGTGTTCGCGAAATTCATACAATTTGCTTAAAAGCAGAAAGTATTTATTGCATGACGCAGCACAGCAGTACTCTTGTCATGCGACGTCAGCCTGCAACGTAACGCGAAATGTCGTTTTACAGGCTGCCGGCGCATGGCATGCTGTGCGGCATCAGGCAACATATATTTTCTGTTTTTATGTAAATAGTGTGAGTGGCGGATGTTACCTGCAGAACAGAACATGCTTACATTTTACGCGAACACCCGGTGTCATCACTGGTTTTCAGTGTTCCATTCACATCATTGTCACCGCTATTTTGACTTTTACAACCAGTGAAATCTTTTTCGGAGATGGTGTTGTCCGCGAACACCTGGTGTCATCACTGGTTTTCAGTGTTCCATTCACATCATTGTCACCGCTATTTTGACTTTTACAACCAGTGAAATTTTTTTCGGAGATGGTGTTGTCCGCGAACACCTGGTGTCATCACTGATTTTCATGATCCCTTCATATCATTTTCACAGCTATATGGCCTTTTACAATCAATGGAATCTGTTTTGGTTTTCCTGTCGTTGACATGATATATTTAGCGAGTACATCAGTGTTGCCAGATTTTAATAGGGAGGAGGTTAGAGCGACAGTTTCTAATGTACTCATTCTGTCTTTCTGTTTCAGTATACATTCGCCCAGAAAGCTGTTGACATCATCCACCAACACGACGTCTCTCAGCCTCTGTTTATGTACCTGCCCTATCAGAATGTACATGCTCCTATTGAGGTAAAGTAGTCTATTACCTACTTAAAATACTATGTTTGTAAGATGCTATTTCTATATGAATTCATTTTTTCATGGCGATAATACCAGATTAATCAAAAATATATGTTGTGATTTTAAAATCCAACGAATTGGATAAGTGTAATCAGATCAGTATGTTTGGTAATTTCAAAAGTATGTTTTGCCAATGGTTCTTGATCAAAAACTTCTAAAAAGAATAATGTTTTTATCTCGGTGGAAATAACTGCAAAACTCACAACGCATGTCAGTTGCATTCATAATCAAGTAGATTCTTATTCTTATTTGTTTATCTTTTTATATTCAGGTTCCCGAAAAGTACTACAACATGTACCCTCATGTGATAAACCGTGGCCGCAGGACATTTTCAGGTACCCTCCATTTCTTCAAATGCAATTACACATACATTCTTCGACATGTTCCCTATTCCACCCCCGTGGTGTCGTGGATAAAGTGAAAGGTCGGTGGTTCGACCGTCTGACCGCGTCACATCAAATGACGTCAACAGATTATACTTGTAACCATCCTGGGACTCTGTAAAAGAAGGACTGGTCGGTATCACAGTATAATTTGTCAGAGTGAGATATCCACCTTAAAGGCAAGACACCGCAGTGTGATAACCCTAAAACACGCCATCCGGACAAGTACAAACAGCAACAGGCACGTGCATACACATACGTGAAATTATCTTCAACGCGACGTTTAAACCCTACCAGAACCCTGTTATGAAGAGAACAAAATTGATGGAATAGATAAATAAAATACACTATAGGATCTTTGTAACAGAGATAGTCAATCTCAAAATATTTTCTCAAGGTAAATATTGAAACAAACGTATTGCAAAAAAAACATATTTTAACTTTGGTTTAAATAGTGATTATTGTATTACACAATCACCTATAAATCACTAATTACTACAACCAAATGTGTGATATATAAACAGAAAGATCTCCATTTGCAATTGAATATAATAATAAAGAAAAACTATACACATTTGTCACATGTAAGTTATAATCCTACAGAAATGCTCACATGTTTACATTGCGAATTGATGCTGATATGGTCTCTTTTTAGGAATGGTGTCTGCCCTCGATGAAGCAGTTGGGAACGTCACGAAGGCACTTAAGGAGAAGGGGTTGTTTGAAAACACACTCATTCTGTTTACAACTGATGTAAGGACAGTCATCTTCTCGAGTCAACAACCAAAATACTTAAAATGCATATACGGTATAGACCCATAAGAAAGAAAAATGAAAAACAACCAAGGTCGTTTATGAGTACATGGTCAATCATCAGTTTCCATACTAATACCAGCATTCACCGAAGTGGTAAACGTCTGAGACCTACATCACTTCGGGCTTTCCTCCCGCATTAAGCTGACACGCCGCGATAAAACTGGAATACTGTTAAAAGCAGCGTTAAACCCAACTCACTCACTCACAAATACCCGAGCGGCCATAGTTTTATAATATTGATTGTGAAGAACAAGGATTCAATAACACTTCATTATACTGCGGATCAGTAAGATCTGAATACTGAATAATGTCAGCAATGTTATATCTCATCAGAATGGCGGTCCTCTGGAAAATGATGCCAACAACTGGCCCCTGAGAGGGGGGAAGCACACAATCTGGGAGGGAGGCACCAGGGGGACTTCCTTCATGTATGGCACCGGACTGAAGAAAACCAAGACAACGTATAATGGGTTCGTAGACACTATCTGTTTAACGTGAAGGATATATGGGAAGAATGTTATAATTTTACAGGAGAAGAATGGGCGATTGGTGTTCCTAATTGGTAAAGATGTTTGGTTAAAGAGATTAGACAGTATTGAACATCTCAAACTCTCGCGTAATTGCAGACCCATATCATTTCAGAATGATGCATGCTGTAGACTGGAATCCCACCTTGGTGTCCGCAGCTGGTGGCACTCCTGGTAATAAGGACTGGATTTGTTTGTTTGTTATTTGTTAAACTCTGTTCTCAGCAATAGTAGAGCTATATGATTGCAGCATGTACATAAGCGAATTTGGAATCAAACAATCCATAGACTGACACCACAAGCATTGATCTACGCAATTGGGACATGTACAATGACATTTATCGCACCTTACATAAAATTACCAGCTTCTGATTGGTTACTCATTGTAACTCGCACATCTCGAATAAGTATCGCTGAGTTGAAATGAACAGGTGCATTGGGTAAAGAGAAGTAAATCGGTTCATTTGCGGCGTCTGGTACGGGTTTTGCAAACTCAGTTACACTGTGGGCCTATTTTATGGACCAGAATGAAAGAATGTCAGTAAGATAAATTCGTTGTTAACCGATCTCTCGGGGCTCATGGCGTGAGCCTGAAGGCTTGGGGTATATAGGCTCACCCACAGGGTACACCACGCCTATATACCCCTCGCATCGGTTGATCATAACAAGGTGTAGTATCAACCAAGTCAGCTAGTCTGGTGCCTCCATCCCATCAGTCGGCTCTTGCGGCTCTTGGGTTACTACAGGTCAGTTCTAACCCTGATCTTCACGGGGACCCAGATATAGTCTCACACAGCAGCTCTATTATTCCCAGCATACACCTGCAATGTTAATAAGCCTCTCACAGCAATACATTCATGAATTAACTACCCGCACTTGGCCATAACATTATTTATATTTCCCCCTTGGAATTGTTTATTTTATATCCTAAAGAATAAATAACAAAAAATGCGATCATTGCGAGACAATGACTCAAATTTGAAAGGGGTAATCATATCAGCTATTTACTATGAAACGAGATTACGTTTCAGCAAAATCCAACCCTGTTGTAGAGACGACAATCGATGGGATAACCCACTGGGAATCTATCAGGAATGGCCTTCCGTCATCAAGGACCGAGTTTATATACAATCTTGACGACTTTGAACCTGCAACGGAAGGACATGCTGGGATAAGGTAACTATTTTAGGTAGTAGGTTACAGAACTATTTTGTAACATCTGTCTTGAGGCGAGTATTTACCACTGCACAGAACGAACACTTGAGAGAAGTATTTCTCTGTACCAATCAAATTGCGATCTCAGAATTCGACAGCGGGTCTTAAACCATGGAGATTCATTACAAAGTGTTTCCGACATGTCACGGAATTAAACAATACATATTATGAACAACAGCGGAAGCAAGAAGTGATCCTAAGTTGTATTGTTTGTTCACAGGGTTGGTGACTACAAGCTGATACTGGGCTACCCAGGGGGACCTGATGGCTGGTACAAGCCTAAGAACAGCACACCGGGGGACATTTATGACAACATCATATATTATAAGGGCGATAGCCCAGTGCGTCTCTACAACATACGTGGTAGGTGCTGATCAGAAATAATTATATATTAATTTATCTAACTTATTTTGCTACAATTATGTTGCACCTTGTATAATACTGAAAGACATAAAAGTATTGACAAAAAACATGTCAACCATCTATATTCACGCCTATAAATAAAAAAACTATTTTCAACAAATCTACATACACGCCATCTCTGCACAATACTCAAATCCGTCACTAAATCACATTTCCTTCTCCACCTACAGAGGATCCCACTGAGCATAACGACCTGGCAGCACAGATGCCGGACATTGTTGACAAACTGAGAGCCCGGATTGATGACTACCGGAAGCAGATGGTCCCCGCCCTTTTCCCTCCTCCTGATCCTGCATCGTTCCCCAAAAACTTTGGCAACGTCTGGAGCCCGGGATGGTGTTGATCTTCGATTCAGTTATATCAATTAAATTTTAACAATTTTGTTTGAACTTCATTTGAAAACATAGACTGTAACAATGTGTTGGTTGAAATTCATTTTGTGTTTGTATCACATGAAAAATAAACGAGTGTCAGTTTCCAGTGTCTCTATTTAACTGATACAGTTTGTGAATTTGGTTCAACGCCACTGTGTGATGAGAGAAGTAGATGTTTAAGATGTAGATTTGTCCACTGACGTAGAATTCTAATAATACAAGGTGAACACTTGAAGGCCTATTCCTTCTCCATTTACATGAGCCCAATGACCAAATCTTACCTTGTAATTCTTACAGCTACTTCTACTGTCGCCACCCTTCCTTACTGAAAGTAACAGGTTACAGATAGAAGACTTCGCAACAATATATCTTCAGCACGGACCTGGTCTTTTGTCGACAATGCTATCTAGAATGGTTTACATCTTCACACACCCATATCATACCGTGACTATATGTTGCCCTCTCCGCTATCCAGAAAGGTTTACATCTTCACAACAACATTGAGTTCGCTGTTCACAGAACCTTTTGCCATCATGCGTCATAGATTGTGTATTACAGGTTAGATTAGAGATCCAATAACCTATGCTATAATTAAAAAAAAGGGCCATACGTCTTATGTACAAAGTTACCGATCAAGGGAGGTGACTGAATTCAAATTATATAGAAAAATGGACCCTCTTGAATTTTTTAACACTTGATACTTATTCACTCCCTAGATTACCAATTGCTTTCTACGCAACCTCCTATCTGTTCTGGTCCAGTGGTGATTCAAGGTTTGTGTATTCCCCCCTACAACATCATGCTTCCTATAAGAGGCAACCAAATAGTTCGAGTCTGCAGCCTCGGTGACTTTGCTTTAAAGTCTCTGATTATACTATGGCGGCATAGTTCATTGCTCATAAAACAATCACTGGCTTCTTTGGTCCAGACTATTTGCAGGTCGCTGGTTTATAGCTGGACTGTTGTTGGGTTTCACGATAAACAACAAACACATCAACATAATTTAAAGGCTCAATGGAGGACCTGGTCAACATGGTATACTTAATAATGTATTGTATTTTGTGGGTATAATGTAAGTATTGACGTAAAACCCCAGCGAAAGATTGCTGAAATTTTCGTTATCTGACAGTCGGTGTTGCATATTCTCGTGATCTGACAGGAATGGACGCGTCAGTCGTTGTTAACATTTTGGCTCAGTCAAATACCAGAACATGTTGGTCAAGGTGGAGATATGGATAAACATATGCTTTATCAGTCCCTTACAAATCGTGTACATTGTTGCAGATAACTCAGGTGAGCGTAGATAGTGAAGACAGCAAGAAAGTGATTTAATATGAAATACGTACTGAGACTGCGTCACTCTAAATGTGCCTTATTTCAAAGTAGAGATATTAACACAGTTGTATATGGTCTGCACAGCCGAGTATTCAGGGGAAACAGTGTGCATGGTCAGGCTGAAATGGTGTTGGATTACAGAATCCTTGCATGAAGACTCCAAACATCGACAAACTGACCACATGGTGAATCAACTTTGAAAATGGATATATTCAGCCCGTAAATTGCTGTTATGCTATTTTGTTCTCACTTCATTGAGACATAATACGAAACATCGATTGTAACTTTTAATTGCACAATAAATAGCTTACAATAGACATTACCCCAAACATGGCAATTCATGAGATATATGCACAAAGAACATATAGAACACTATGCTGCCATTGTCATGTGTTGCAATTGATAATTGCCAAATACAATCTTAAACATAAAAAAGCTATATACGTGTTTGGACTGATGTTTGATGGAGCTTAATTGCTGAACTGAATGTGTCTGTATTACAATAAGACACAGGTATCAGTGGACTCATTGGTACTGATCCCTTACCGCCCTTATGAGTGGAATGTTTCCATTCCATGTAGGCCCCATGTACTTTTGTCGATTTTTTCATCAATATTAGAACGTACATAAACGCATTGTGCAAGATATTCACATTTTAGATCATGATACAAGTGGAACGTCTCTGAAAAATTGCAAGTTGAATTTAGGGATATGTGCGCTGGGAATGTGTGACGAAATTCTTACTCGTTGGAGTTAGTGCATGCTATTACTGGGATGCACGTGCTTTTTCAAGGTCATCATGGGTTATTATGACAACGTGTTAAAACATGTCATGATCATGCATGACTTTTATCAAAAATCTATGGCAGTCGTATTTAAATGTGTTTTTTATGGTGCACAAGAATGCCTTTTTTCCGCTAGTATATTTAAGTTTAATTCTGAAGCTGTACAATCACCATGTACACTATCAGTTCAGATGGCATATGGGTTTCTTGTAATTTTGAGTGCCCACTAACGTACCAAGGCTTCGATACTTTCTTTGGTTATTATAATGCGTCTGTAGACCACTTCACACAAACTGTTGGTGCGTCTTATTCCGGTTGTGGGAGATTAATGGACGTTTCCTTGTCGTTTCGTGAATATTAGTTTCACTTATACAGTGTTAGCAGATGTACTGCGATCAACGTTTTTCATATTTAACCAGGGAGGTATTTAGACTGCAGGGACAATCAGCTTCCTACACGAAACTATTTTGCAGAATATTCTGCTGTAAATATGCATGGGTAATTTGTCGTTAACTGTAGTTTACAATCGTCGCATCAATCACGATTATTTTGTAAAAGAGATACTTTCCGTAACATATCTAAATCCTCGGCGAATGGTTTAATAGTTTGGCCGTTGTGTACATTCCGGTTATCATTTCAGTTCATTCGCCCCGAGAGCCGCCGACATTATCCATCGACATAATGTATCTCAACCGCTGTTTATGTACCTCCCTCATCACAATGTACATGGTCCTAATGAAGTAATGGAAATCACAGTATGGAGAACGTATACACGTTTAATTCCACCAGCCTGTCTTGTAGGTTGAGTATGTAGAATGTCAGGTTTTAACATTCACGTCAGTTTGATTATTTTTGAATGACATTGTTAGTATATGTTAGTATTCATACATATATTCACGATTGGATCACTTGATAACCATATCAATGAACAATTTATGGTTTATGCTATAGGCTGATGGTGGTGTCACTCAGAGTGATGTATAATTCGTTTAATGCAATGAAGATGTTCTGTTGTACAAGACTGGGGATCCTAGGTTCCCAAGAAATACGATGATATGTATCAGAACGTGATTAACGAAGGGCGAAGAAAGGTTCAGTGGTATGCAAATTTATAACCGTATGTCCTATCTGTTTCTTGACTGATTATTGACTGGTGTTGACATGTTATATTATACATGTAGTTGAAAAATTGTCTCTAAAGTCCTCATAATCTATTTTTCAGAAAGTTTGTTGATAATAGTTCAAATCGACCTCCGATAACCTTCGTTGAGTTGTGAGTCGTATTAGAGAGTTGTGCCCCTTTAGCGAATTAGGATCCTCTGATCAGGCGTTCGAGACCAAGAACCATACTGATTAAATACATGTTCTCTGTGGGCAGCTTGGCCTGCGTTAAGTTCATACACCATGGCATATCTGTCCAAACCACTGACCCACCACTACCATGCTCTGCAGGATTGGTGTCTGCTTTGGATGAGGCACTCATGCCACCCAGTCCATACATAAGCTGATTCTAGTCATCGCAGATGTAAGTCCTAGTACATGTAGCAGCCTATACTATGACCTTTACCCAGACTTCCTTACTCAGTGGCACTTACTTTTCTACTCGAAAGCGATGAGTGATGGGTGCTACCGCAGGTTATGCTTACCCAATTGCAACTGATGTCTTTAATGTTTTTTGTGATTTCTTCATACAATTTTCTCACTATTTTGTCTTCTTAGCCACATGGAATCTGTTTCTGTGCTGAATAATCTCTTGCGTTGATGGTTTGAATTCTGATATGAAAGATTTGTTACTATGTATAATCGCCCGTTACTGGTGTCCTCGGCCATGATAATCCTGGACTATTGCTAAAACCCAATTCACGCATTCATTTTAACGGGTCAGAGCATTACAACGGCGTTACACCACTGGGAGTGTCATCACGATTTGTTCGTATTACAAATATCATTAAATACATATCTCAAAAAGAGCAGTAATCATTCCTATTATGTCACACTTAATTCCCGGTAGTCTGATAACTATGACCTTGTATATATGTTTTATTGTTAGGTGTATAACAACATCAATGAGGTTCATATCACTGATTCTTTATATGAAGTCAATTCAGCAACTGAACAAATTTATGACACTATTTATACTCTTCACACAATGCCATAAGGGCTCCACATCTTTGATGAGTCAGTGAGTTAATAACATTTAACTCACCTTCAGTACCCTGTTACAAGGTCAGTATATCAAACAGTAGATCGTTGATGAGTGAGTGAATATTGTTTCGCGCCGCAGTCGGTAATACCACACATAGCTCACCCCGGTGTGGTATTATCGAGTCTTGAACAGGCACAGCAGTGGCTGAAAGTGTGAGACACGATTTCACACCATCGAGGCACGATGACACGGAATCAGTCACTGCACCAAGCATCACCACCGAATCACCTTAAGTCTATGGACAGGAATGACAATTGGAGACATATTTTACCCTGATTACCCTATCTTCTTGATGAAGACTCCGGGTGGAGACATGTTCTAGTATATATCCGTATTTCTCGAAATAGCGATACCCAGTAATTTCAAGAAGTGACAATATAATGACTTCTTTTTTTATATAAAATGTGTCAATACCTGAAATTTATTGTACCAGTGTGGAACATGTTTAGACTTAGTAATCCCGTTCCCTTGGCAACCGACGTCTACAACACAAGCTATGAGGTACAGGTGGAGCAAGCGGAGGGAGAATTTCATCAGTGGTTCCTGGTTCCTCAGGGTAGAACCCTGGTGCGCCGCTGCCAAGTCTGACCACTCTCGATGTGAGAAACATAATGTTTACACCCACTGTTGCCATATGTCGTTTAAGACTATGAAACTTCAGGATCCCGAATTTAACGAAGTATCACAGTAGAATACATTTACTACATTTGCGGTAGTATCATGGTATTGTAGGTTTCATGAAATATCGGAACCGCATGATTAAAATATTCACGATTTCCA